TTAATTTATATAGTTTTTCATATTGTCAGTTGCATCTCTGGGTGGTAGTCAGGGGATTAAAAAGCAACAGAACAAGATAGAACAAGAAAATAATAAAAGAAAATTTAATCAAATCCATGTAACAACAGTCATCCCCAAAAATCACATTGATGGCTCACCCAATCTCCAAACCCCCAAGCCTGAAGTTATTTATTTATTTATTTTATTTATTTATTTATTTATTTATTTATTTAATTTATTTTCACCCATCTCATTTCAAAATGATTAAGGGCGGCTTATAGCATAAATTCCAGGTCTTCAAAGATTTTTGAAACGCCAGTTGGAATGCAGGACGAATTGACATTTGAAAATTTCAGTGAGATATTTTAAAGCATACATCCTAATAGTTAAGAATCAGGACAGTGTTTGGACTCTGACAGATAATAACCTTGAAATTGGCACTGTTTGTTTGGTTTTTAAAAACAGATGCTTTTGTTTGTACGTTCAGATGATTTTTCTTATTTCTTGCTTTAACTGGCATTATTGTTACTTTGATGCTGAATCAAACTTAGTGACTTTGAGCCATAAAAGGGACAAAAAGCATAGAAAGGTGAGAACTTAATTCAGAAAGTTTGCTCTTTCCTTTTTTGTTCTTCCTTTTTCAGCTCTTACAGACACAGGATTTAAACATTATGCTCCAGAATTACGCAGACCAAAAGGAGATTATAAGGTTAGTATATTTATTGGAATCTGAAGGAAGGAGAGAGTTAAATAGTTTAGAATCAGATGACAGAACCTTATCCTAAATATAAAAGCTCACATCATCTCTTTTTGCCCAAGGACTCTTAAACAACTGAGCACACTTTTTGTGCATATGCATACGCTGTGCATATAATTGGGCTATAAGTCTAGGCAAGGAAATTGGGAGCTTACAAAACAGCAATTATAGCATGGTTTGCTAACAGTATTTTCCCAGGTAAATATATTGCTTTAGCAGCAAGTTCTATGTTTTAAAAGAGATTAAAAGAGGGTTTTTTTCTTAATTAATGTCTGAAGAGAAAAGAGATGAGATCATAGAAACCTTTAGTTGTCATCTGGCTCAAACTATTCCTTGATGCAGGATCAGCTAAAATCAGTGGTTATACAATCTCTGTTTGAAGTCCTCCTGAGACTACCTATTCAACTGGATGACAGCTCTCATCTGATATCTACCCTATTGCCTTCGTAGAGTGGTTCTATGGCTCTAGTCCTATTGTCTAAAATGAAATAGAACAAGTTCATATCCTCTTTTATTTGCTGAAGTTGTTATCAAATATCTCCCGTGGCTTCACTTTTGCAGGCAAAACATGCCCTAGCTCTTTCAGTGATTAAACTAGTGACAAATTAAAAAGATGGGTTCCAACCCAGGATTCCTATCTTGCCATTAAGTTGCATTCCTAAATTACTTTTTCAAGTTTCCAAGCCCCCTGAGAGTTGCCTGGTAGGATGCCTGAAATGTTTTTTTGTCTCTCTCCCCATAGTCACAAATCATAACCGGATCGTTCATAACCCATAAGGCATTATCAGTGGTTTTTGTTTTCTTTTTATTTTCAGGATTTTATTTTATTTTATTTTATTTTAAAAAATTTAATTTTTAATTTAAAACATTTTATTTTTTATTTTATTTTCAGGATTACAATTCTGATTGGAGCCCCAACGATACAGTAAGACGGCTGCAGAGAGGCAAGGTAGGAAGTAAAAACAGAAAGTTCATTTTATACTTCCAAAAATTTAGAAACTACAGTTAATTCTCGATCTACAGCCATTCATTCAACAACCATTCAGAATTACAATGGGACTCTAAATGGATGGTAGTTATGACGGGTTCCCAGAGTTCTTCCTGAACCAACATCCTGCAGTCATATAATTGTAATCTAAATGCTTGGCATTTGGCTTATACTTATAGCCACTTGCAGAATGCCAACAATAACATGATAGTGATTTGCAAATTTTTCTGCTGGCATCTCCAGAAAATCCATGGGGAAACAGGCAGGGAACATTGCAAATTGTTGTTGATGTATCTCACCATTTGTGCACCTTCCCACACCTTCTCTGCCTCCTGTGCACCTCACACACCTCCCCAACCTTCACTATGTCTCCCTTGCACATCCTTTCCAATCCTTGCCCCCTTGTGCACCTTGGCACATCGTCTCTGAGCCTTGGCGATCCTGCTTTGCAGTACTGTGCACTCTGTCCAATACTCACTATGCCTTTCCTACACCATCATGCATTCCCACAAGCTTCCCGAGCTTTGCTGTGCCTTCCTTGCATCTCCACCCACCCCCTCATGCCCTCCCCCACCTTGTGGGCAGCGATTTATCTGCCT